CCGCGCGTACATAACACTTTGTCCCTGACCTAGCTGCCATCCATCTTTCTCCGATCTACCCAAGCTCGCCGATCAGACTGAACCAGCATCAGATCTGCGAGCCACACGTTTATTCTTCTTATAATTCAGAGGTGCAATGGATTTCGCCACCACAAAAGGACCAATCTCCTCCGTCACTAAGATCTTGAAAGCCCAATCTTTGTCTTCAACGATCACGAACTCTAGAATGACCCCACCGTCATCCACCATGATAACTATCCTTTCTGTCTCGCTCTCAGTGACCTCGACCTCCCTAAACCCACCACATAAATCCCCTATAGCTTCAAATAGCTTCTGACACCATCAATGAAGTGGAAGCTCAAACAACACTATCTCCTCTGCCGTGTCCATTTCCTCATCCCCAAACACCCAACTCTGTTATACCATAGATTGATCAGCAACTGTGCCTCCCCCCAAGATTTCTTCCCCCATCTTAACACCCTCTGTGCTTCCTTCTTAGAAGGAAATCGAAATAGCAGCAACCCATCTGGTAAATTCAAAACCCTAAACCCACATGAAATCTGCCAAATCCTTGAAGCCCACTCCTTGATTCCTTCCAAACTACCGACATCTCTGTCGAATCTCCCAATGAGGCAAGATTAAAGCGTCGTTTCCCGTTGGCTCGTACTCTTTTCATCCAACCGAAGAACAAACCCTCTGTCTGAATATGTTTGCACAACCTCTCCCTTCAACTCCAAACGTGGCAGACTTGCAAGATCCAAAAAAGACCTCTTTATAACATAGTTTATGCATATATAAAAATATCTTCTCGAAAACAGTGCCCTAACTCCAAATCTCCTAAAAATCGCCTAAAATCACCTCATGCCGAGAGTAAAGTTAGAATACAAACTTCTTAACTCGTGGAACTTGTTGTCCATAGAAACACCTTAACCGGCGCCATTCCTTTTAATATATTCAACATGTCAACAATGAAAATCCTTAACCTAGGATTTAATCACTTCTCCGGCCATCTTCCTTTGGACATAGGCCTTTGGCTTTTCAATCTTGAAAATCTTCATCTAGGGAGAAATAAACTCGGTGGAAAATTTCCAAGCTCTATCACTAATGCTTCTAGGCTAACCATCATTGACATGTCTGGAAATTCATTCACTGGATCTATACTCAATACGATTGGAAGTTTAAGACAACTACATAATCTCTTACTTAGTGGAAATAATTTGACCAAGGAATTTTCTACTCCAGAGTTGAGATTTTTCTCTTCTTTAACGAATTCCAGACAATTGGAGTTATTGAGCATATCATCAAATCCACTAAATGGCATACTTCCAATTTCATTGGGAATTTGTCTACTAGACTACAATTGTTTGATGCATTTGGATGCAAAATTAAGGGCAACATCCCTAGTGGAACTGGTAATTTGAGCAACTTGGAATATATAAACTTATCAAGAAACCAGTTGACTGGACCTATCCCAAAAACAATGGAAAATTAAGAAATCTTAATATTTTGAAACTTCAAAATAATAGATTGCAAGGATACATCCCAGATGATATTTGTTTATTAGGGAAATTAGGAGACTTATATATAAGTAATAATAAGCTCTATGGACCGATTCCAACATGCTTAGGAGAGCTTAAATCTCTAAGATGGCTCTATCTTGACTCCAACAAATTGACTTCCATCATATCGTCCAAATTGTGGAGCCTTAAAGATTTAGTGGCTATTAAACTATTCTCAAACTTTTTAAGAGGTCACCTACCATTAGATATTGGAAATTTGAAGGTTATAACACATATAGACTTGTCATTGAATCACTTATCAGGAGGAGCTCAGTCATTAGTTTCTCTTTCCTTGGCCCACAATAAAATGAAAGGACCTATTCTGCAATCCCTGAGCAACTTGATAAGCTTGGAATTCTTGGATCTATCCAGTAACAACTTGTCTGGAGGTATTCCCATGTCCTTGGAGGTACTAAGGTATCTCCAACATTTCAATGTGTCTTTTAACAACTTGCAAGGAGAAATTCCTACTGGAGGACACCTTTCCAACTTTACAGCCATGTCTTTTTTGCACAATGATGCACTATATGGTGTACCCCGATTGCAAGTTCCTCCATGCAAAACAAACAAGAAAGGCGAATAGCAATTCTGAAATACTTTTTACCCCCTATTGCATTAGCAATTCTTGTTGTGTCCCTCATACTTGTGTTGATAGGACATCGAACCAAAAAGATCAAATTGCAAAACCAAGAATATTTGTCACGTCATGCATGGAGAAGGGTTTCGTATGAGGAACTTTGTTTGTACCTATTTTTTGAGTCAACATGTGAATGAAATCATATCCGAAAATATCACTAAAAACAATGTGAGGAATACAGAAGAGTGGATTGAGGGAGAGAAAATCAGCCCAATCTAGGGTTTGAAAGCGATGGTAGATAAGAATGATCTTCTGAAGTTAACAGAGCCCGATTCTGCCTCCTCACCCTTTTTCCTTAGCCACCTCCTTATAGCCCTAGGTCATCTAAATTGTATCCATTGGGCCTGTGGACAAAGCGAGTCAGGGCCCATGTCCTTTTACGGATCATGATGCCCTAATCTCAACTTTTCCGGATCTGTTGCCTACCTTCTCTGGATGCCCTAATTTAGAGGGTGGTTGTAACGGTCTCTGTGCTTTACTCCAGACTGCCTTTCCGCTTTTCCCTAAATTGGGTTTGTCGTTTGCAGGACTTGAAGCTGATTCTCCATCCTTCATTCCAAAATCCCTTCAGCATTCCCAAGTGGCTTTGAAGAGTCCTATCATTACTCTTCGTCCTTAGTTCCTTCGCTCGGCGATTATGTTAAGGGTCTAGACCCGTCGATCGACGAGTCATGACTTAATTAGATCGGGGTGCTAGCCCACCAATCGATGCTTGGTCGAATCGAGGTTCTGGGCCCGTCGATCGACAGTTTGTGGCTTGGTCGAATCGAGGTTATAAGCCCGTTAATCGACAGTTTGTGTGACTTGGTCGAATCGAGGTTCTAGACCCGTAGATTGACAGTTTGTGGCTTGGTCGAATCGAGGTTCTGGGCCCGCCGGTCGACAATTTGTGGCTTGGTCGAATCGAGGTTCTGGGCCGTCGGTCGACAGTTTATGGCTTAGTCAAATCGAGGTTCTGGGCCCGACAATCGACAGTTTGTGACTTAGTCGAATCGAGGTTCTAGGCACGTCGGTTGACAGTTTGTGGCTTAGGTCGAATCTAGGTTATTGGCCCGTCGATTGACAGTTTGTGGCTTAGTCGAATCGAGGTTCTGGGCCCGTCGATTAACAGTTTGTGGCTTGGTTCCAATCGAGGTTCTAGGTCGTCAATTGATAGTTTGTGGCTTGGTTCGACTCGAGGTTCTGGGCCCGTCGATTGACAGTTTGTGGCTTAGTCTGGCTATGGGCTTATCGACTGGCCGCTAATGCTTTTGTTGAGCTGGCCCGTTCATGTATATCGACCAAGTGTTGAACATTTTTGTCTTATTCCTACTTTTGGTCAACTTGTATTGACTACTTTGCTGACGTGGCGTAACCTATGACCACAAACTTCTACAAGCAACAAAAGCATTTAGTAAAACCAACCTAATCGACACAGGGAGTTATGGTTCAGTATATAAAGGAATACTATTGGATGGGATGAGGATTGCCGTAAAGGTTTTCAATTTGCAAGTAGAAGAAGCTTTCAAGAGTTTCGATGTTGAGTATGAGGTAATGCGCAACATTCTCCATCGAAATCTAATTAAAATCATCATCAGTTGCACTAACCTAGATTTCAAAGCCTTGGTACTAGAGTACATGCCTAATGAGAGCCTTGAGAATTGGTTGTATTCTCACAACTATTGTTTGGATATCCTACAACGATTAAATGTCAGGATAGATGTCGCATCAGCCTTGGTGTATCTACACCATGATCATATAACACCCATCGTTCATTGTGATTTGAAGGCAAGCAATGTCCTCCTCGATGAAGACATGGTTGCACACATTGCTGATTTCAGAATTGCAAAACTCTTAAGTGAAGGGGATCTTGCAATACAAACCATGACCTTTGCAACAATTGGGTATATGGCACCAGGTGATGTTCCATGTTTGTTATTTAATTTAGTTCATGCTGCAGTATTTCGATATATATATTCTAAAACATGAAATTCTCTATTCCATGCTAAAAGTTCAGTTCCAGTGCTTGTTTTCATAGCATGCATAGAGTATGGAACGGGAGGAATAGTATCTAAAAGAGGCGACGTCTACAGTTGTAGTGTTGTGTTGATAGAAACATTCATGAGGAAGAAGCCGACAGACGAAATGTTTGCCGGAGAAATGAGTTTGAACCGTTGGGTGAATGAAGCATTGGATGGTTCAATAATTGGAGTTGTGGACTCTAATTTGATGGGAAAAGAAGAAGAAAATTTCTCTGTGAAGGAGCAATGTGTATCATCTATATTGGGTTTGGCCATGGAATGTTCAAATGATTTACCTGAGAAAAGGATCAACATGGAAGAAGCCTTGGTTAGACTGGAAAAAATTTAACTCTCCTTTTTAGCAAATATTGGTAAGACTTGAAATTTAAAAGCAATCAAGATTATCATGTATCAGGTTTAGTAGTGTTCTGTACTTCCCACATTTTTCCTGTTATAGTGAGGCTAATTTCTTATTAGAGACTGATATGATTAAAAAAGTAGCCCTTGGTTTGTCAAATTTATCTAGCTATTGAGTAATTAATATTTAGCCACTGCAATTGTGCACCTTTAATCATAAACCAGTAAATTATGTTTTGTCATAGGTATTAGGTACTATAGGGTTGAAAGAGAAGTAGAGAATCGTCAAAATCATGATTGTAAATGAAGGAAAAATTATGGTGCATATGCTGTAATATTGCTTAAATTGAAAGACAAGGTATTCAAACCATCCAAAAATAATTCATACATGTTTTGCAATCAGTCTACACCATTCAGACATTGTATCGAACATGTTACGAGCCTTACCTCAATTGTTCTTGGTAGGAAGTTGAAATAATTCTCTTCGATCCTGTGTGTGATTCTGTGAAACACTGTTACTATTAACACAAAATTTAAAGAAAAGAAGAAAAAGAAAAAGGAAAAATTCAAGTGATAAGTATAAACCTGTATATGCATCTATCTGTACTAAATTAGTATAAAACTGAAGTGATGATAGTATTTTGGAGAACAATTATGAGACTATGTGTTATTTATTTCCAGAGTCTAAACTGTTTCTATACATTTTACATTAGTCTGTAAAGTTTATGAACAAAATAGTGATTCAGTCGATCGTGAGTGAGCTTAGAGAGAGAGAGAGATCGATGATTTTACCTAGAAACAGAGAAAATTTCAGTAGATATTGAGTGAGCTTCGCGCGGAAGAGAATCAATGAGAGATCGATGGGGTTATCTTAGAGAAAGAGAGCCTGAGTTGAATCGTCCATGGGGTTAATTTTTTCTTCCAGTGACCATGTTGGCCCATATTACATTTCCCCAATTCACAATTTTTTTCTTATTTGGCACATAATAATGATAAAATAATAACTATGACAACATATTTGCAGTAAATTGCTAAAACCCCTGCTTAATTGATGTCTTTACATTCTTCTCTATTCAAATTCATCCAATAAAATTAAAGCAAAAAAGGAGATAAAAATTCGATAAATTAAAAAGAATTAGCAGAGAATATGAGATTATAAAATTTATTCTGAATTCCCAAAATTCATTAATTGTTCCTTTATTATCAACTGATACCAACCACCCCTTTCACTAGCTTAGATGAACTTTTGGTTTTATTTGCCTTTGAGTTAAAAATAAATAAGATAAGGCATGAAGTACATTAATTATTCTTACTCTTTACTAATTGAAGTACATTCAATTTCTTACTCCTGTGTCGACCCAACTCTATTGTAAACTTTTGATGTAATCAATCGCAAGTGCACGAATTTTTGTAGATATGACTTCCCTGTAAAGGTGTAGTATCCAATAAATTTGAGTTAACGAAGTTGTTAATAGATTTCTTAAATTTTAAATTAACTTGAAATGGGATAAACAAGTTTTGATTATTTATCCTAATGAACTAAGTAGAAAATTAAATAAAAACAATAATTAAACCAGATGAAGAAAATAAGAGAGAAGAAACTAGGGACATGATTTCACCACTAACGTCGTACCATGAGTCAATTGCATTAATTTATTAGAGAGATATGAAACATGCATAAGAAATTAATCATGGCTAGATGCACATATTAATTCAACTAGAAGATAATATAAAATTAAAGATAAGTATGGACTATCTTCGATTAGTATAAACTATATACCTAACTACTTTAATCTAAGGTGTAGTATGGTCTATATTCTCTAAGCATAATCCATCAAATACCTAATATTATATTTAGTGAAAAACCTTTACATAACCATCTCATTCACAACTACAATAAGTAAATGAGTTGTGTGCTCAATCATAAGATTTAAATATTTAAGAGAAGATAGAAAATACTTTTGTAATTGAATTGAAACTTTAAAACCATTTTCTATTAAAAAGTCAAGTAAAAATTCTCTAGGTTATACAATCATGCATGAAAATAATTGTTCTCCAATAAATAAATACAATCAAACCAATAGTGCTAAGTTAGGGCTACATCACAACCCTAACAAAGCGTTTAGCCACTCATGACTAGAATGGACTTCTTCATAGTTGAGGAAGACATCTTCACCGCCATGGATTGATCTCTTCTTTCTTCTGAATGTTTCTCCTCTGATCTCAGCCTCAAGCTCCTCCATATGATCTTCTTAACGATGTAGAGAACTCCCTTTAAATAAGATAAGAATGGCCCCAAAGTTCCCTTTTCCAAATGGAAGATATATATGAAAATTCTACGAAACAAGGACTCCAAAATTCGTACAGATTTCTAGCCCAGTTTTGACAAGATAAACAGCTGTTTCATGAAATTTTCGTGAAATACAAAATTGTAGATCTTCGAATTTCCTTTCAACATGTAAGAAAATTAAGCTGTTTTAACACTTGGGGAAAGAGGTACAGACAGAATACCAAAATGGGTTCAAGTTACAAATTTTGGAGAAAATTTTATAGTTAAAGAAGGATTATTCATTTTCTTCTTATTTCCATTCTCATAAGCTTGTGGCTTCTCTTGGTCTCTTTTCTAAGTCTAATTAGACTTAGATCTTCATCATTGCTTGGTCCAATGGATATGGTCTTCCAACCTTTTCAATTCCTCAAATCCCTTCTCAAGTTATTTCCTATAGCAATATTTTTTTTTTTCACACACATTGCTATTTTATTGATTGGTTATGCAATATCCGGTCTATTAAGCTTTCTAAAAGACTTATGTAACAACCTTTTATCCAATGACTCCCAGACCATACAGTCTTAGGGCATTATGGTGTCGACTGTCGTGGTGTGCACCAAAGTTGCAATAAAGGTGTAATGTAGCCAAGTTTGAATTTATAGAATGTCACTACCACTACTAACTATAAATGTAGCTAGAGTAAGTAGGGATCATCCCAAGGGATATGGAGTGTATTTTTGCTTGGAAATCAAGGTTGGATTAGTAGGTCGAATGATCAAAGATGCTTTATTGGTTGGATTAAACTACAATTTAAGCTAAACAAATGCTCTAGAAAACAACTAAAGTAAGGTGTAGAGAATAAGAGAGAGGAGTCTTGGGTCATAGAGTTCACCACTAAATATTACCTTCTTTGACATTCAATATTTGATGGATTAGGGGGATTATGTGTTGTAAATGAAAGTGTGTGCCATTAATTGAAATATTAGCATGGATGGCCAAGCAAGTATGCATTGTCTAACCAATCTAATGAATAGCATAACATATCAAATTAAGCTATGAATCCTTCCATAAGTCCACAATCAATGCGCACTTAATAAATTAGAGAAATATACTACTTGCATTCATAAGTATAGAACATAAAACAATAAGAATGGATTGTCCACCTACCTAAGAAAGTAAGGCAACTACACTACAACTAAGCTAGTGATACAAAAATTAAACTAATTAAACTAAGATTGTGGCACAATTCATCAAGAAATAAGTATGAATCATCAAATTAACTACAAGAGTATTCCATTGATGCACCATGCCTTGACCATCACTAGATTCATAATATCAACACACATAGACATGCATCAATATCACAAAATCTAGAGATAAACACATGAACATCCATTCTAGCACACATAGACATATGAATAGAATTAAATTATCAATTAGAAGTATTAAACTAAACAAATCATTGTAGAAACAAGATTTATATACATCAAAAGTTAAGACAAGAAATACAACACTGATCGCCATTAAATACAAAATATCAAAGTCTATGAGGCATACTTAGGGCTATCTTTAGCCCCAAGAGATGGTTTAGCCACTCATTAATGTTGTCATCCAACCCTCAAGGGCTATCTCCACGGTAGAGCTCATCTTCCTCCTTGGTAAAAATCCTAGATGAGAGGAAGAACTTTCCCAATTTACCTATTTCTCTCTCTAATCTTTAGCCAAGTCTCTCTAACTAACCAACCTCTTCTACTCAAAATAGCCAAGATCCTTATATAGGTAGCTCAAAGGTCACACCCATGGTCAGTCCTTGTGCACTAGGACCTCCTAATGATTGCACCACGAGCACACATTTAATTTGGCTTGAAATCAACTTTTCATGCAACTTGAGGCAGTTCGATCTATCACGAGGTTGCTTGGATCAATCGAACCTTGGCGGCGTACTTTTTGGATAATGACAAGGCTGAGATATTTTTGGGAGTAGAACAAAAGTGGTCGGTGAGGATAAGATCAAAGGGGTTCAATCGATCAAAGGAAATGTTGGATCGATCGAAGAAGATATTTTGCTAAGGATAAGGACAAAAGGCTTGATCCATCATGGCATGGTTAGAACGATCACTGTGTGATCAATCGGAGCTTGAGTTTGATCGATCGAAGAAAGTTGTTTTTCACCACTTTGCTCCTTTCTTCCACTAAGCTTGAGATTGCATCTTTTATGCTCTAATTAAGCTGAATTGACTCATTTTGGGGATAAATGCCTGAAAAGGGACATAACATGAAATTAGATTAAAATGGGAAAATAAGATAGAATAAGGTCCTAGAATGTTCCAGCTTAAGGGGTTTAAATGCGCACTTTTCAACGCTTATCACACTCCCAAATTTAAATATTGCTTGTCCCTAACAATGAACTACAAGGGAGGAAAAAAAAATGAACAACTATATAACTATGAACTAGAAAGTAATAAATGGATAACACCACTTTCGTATAGAACACGATTGCATTTAGCACATGCAATAAGCCTTTTAAACCCCTAGGTTACCCCTAGTGGACGAGTGAAGTCTCGTGAGGGTTTCCAGAAATGATACCCATAAACATTAAGCTCATTCTCTCTAAAGAGGCACCAATATTCCAGACAAGCATTGGGAGAAAACTACCTCAAGTATTCAAATTTTCAATCATTTCTAAGCAATCTCCCAAAATCTCAACATCAAGCAAGCAAATATGGTTCTCCACACATCAAGATAATAATCATACAAATCAAAACCACTCTAGAATTCTTTTTAAGTGAACCGGCATCAAATATGTTATTATCTAAGCCAACTAAAGAAATGATCACATCATTGCCCTTAAACTAGCACACAAATCTAATACCGATCATCAAGACAAAGAGTGGACCTTTTATTAAAGCTTTATTAATCTAGGTGCGCTTATTTTTTTCACTCGATTTTTTTTTTTCTATCCCTAAAGATCAAAGATGGAAGCATAGTGCAATGTGTAGATCTATTAAGCTTTCTAGCGATCCATGAGGTCGAGCGTTAGGTCAATGACTCCCAAACCGGACGGTTTTAGGGCATTAGGTGTTTAAACACCTCTAAGGACTTACAAGCTTAAATCGACTAGACTACAAATAAAAACAACCTCCATCTAATCATTTCCCACTTCTCACCTTTTGAGAGAAGTCCTCACTTTTTTATTTGCTTTTGCAACTTTTTTTTTTTTTTTTTCAATTATTAACCTAGAGTTTGGGCCCTCCACCTTTCGGCGCGAGAAATTCAGTACTTGATGAGGCTAGAATCCCGACAACTTAGTGAAAAGGGATTGTTATCCACCTTTATCAAAAATGAAAGCTTTTAATGCACTACTAGCTCAATTGGGATATAACCAAATCAATAATCAACAAAGCATGTACCCTACAAATGAATGGTAGTGTGCGCCTGTGCTAGTGTAGAATACTAGAGTGAATCTCAAAACAATCCCAAAATCAAGATGATGTGGACCACAAATGCAAGCAAGATATCAATCCTTCAAAAAATTTACTCCTAAACGACATTCACAAGGCATACAAGGAATATTGGACTCTCAAGTCAAGTAATTATTAAATTTTAAGTAATATAGTCCTCAAAAGATCAAAATCATAGCTAGTTATGGACCAATCATAGAAAATTCCTCAAATACACAAGTCATGC